GTTGTCTTGATCGGGACGGAAAATTCGTTCGTTGTCTTGATCGGGACAGAAAATTTGTTCGTTGTCTTGATCGGGACGGAAAATTCGTTCGTTGTCTTGATCAGGACGGAAAATTCATTCATTTTCTTCATCATGAAGGAAAATCAGTTTATTTTCTTTATCGGTGAGGTTTCTTGTCCACCACGATTCAAATTGTAAAGGGAATGCTTGTAGTTTGGCCACTTGGCAATCTCAGCACGGATAAATTCTCCAGGAGATACTGTGTCACTGACGTCTTTGTGGGCCAACATTATAAATTCAGGGGACAGGTAGCCAATTTTCACGGAGAAATCAAGGAAGCACCTGAGAGCTTTCCAAGCCTTATCTTCGGGGGATCGTTCTAGAAAAGAAACAGAACAGTCCAACTTTCTTTAAGGAGCCAGAGAAAATTTCATCCTAGTCTAAGGAGGGATCTGAGGATGTTGGTTTAATATAAACGGATGGTTTGTGAGCGGAGCTGAAACATGGTTATGTTTATCCAGCTCTCCATAGAAATTCTGACAATCTCTGGGTTGAACTGTGGGGTCCTGGGTGGCCTGTGAGCTGGGTGGTTTTCTGGCAGATATTTCATGACCCAACTAGAGAACATCATCAGGGTTGGAAGGGGAGAGGAGGAGGAGGAGGAGGAGGCAGAGGAGGAGGAGAGAAAAGAAGAGAGGAGAGGAGAGGAGAGGAGAGGAGAGGAAAGGAAAGGAAAGGAAAGGAAAGGAAAGGAAAGGAAAGGAAAGGAAAGGAAAGGGGGGCGAGGGAAGGAAAGGAAAGAGGGAGGGAGGGAGGGAGGGAGGGAGGGAGGGAGGAAGGAAGGAAGGAAGGAAGGAAGGAAGGAAGGGCGAGCTGTTACTGTGGAAATGTTTTCTAACTAGGGATTGCAACGAGCTTCAGGCCAGTGCTTGGAGTGTTTTCCTGAAGGATATTTTAACTTCGCAAAAGAAGAAGCTCTGGAGGAGACCTGCCCATCCATAATTTTCATGTGGCATCCCACGCAAAGCCCAAGGGTGGGGCCCTGCAGAAACTCGGCTGAGATTGCTTAACTTCTCCCAAACTTCCTGGTCCTTCAAGGAGAGAGAGGAGGAGGGAGATGCTACGTATATTCCCTGTGACAAGTAACTCAGGATTGATCTGAAATTGCGGACAAACGTACCCACAAAAGTGCCGATGAAAGCAATCCCCAAGGAGAGGTCGTTGTAGCCATAGGTGTGGGCTCCTTCATTGCGCCAACCCCGCCCTTCGTACACGTATCCATCCTCACCAATCAGGAAACTGGAGGAAGGAAGGAAGGGAGGGAGGGAGGGACGGAGGGAGGGAGGAAGGAAGGAAGGAAGGAATAGGGATGGAAGAGAAAGAGAAGGAAGGAAAGGAGGGAGGGAAAAGGGATAGAGAAGAAAGAGAAGTAAAGGAGAGAGAGAGAGAGGGAGGGAAGAAGGAAGGGAGGGAATAGGGATGGAGAAGAAAGAGAGGGTAAGGATAGGAGGTGGAGGAGGAAAGGAAAGGAATTTCAATCACATTTTTAAATTCATTTAAGACTAGATGAGTCTTTTTCATCCAGCTACATGGCTGATCTCAAAACATTAAGCAAGACTTTAAGATCAGAAAATATCAGGTTTGTCGGCCAGATTGGAGCAAACGCTTCAGGAAGAACCTGCCTCATTCTATATTAATATTGATATTAATAATAACAACAATAATAATAATAACACCAACAACACCAACACCACCAACAACAACAACAATACCAACAACTCCAACAACAATAATAATAACAATAATAATAACAATAATAATAATAAACAAGGACAAGGACATAGCTGAGCACATTCCTGCAATCCTGAGGATTTTCCCTCCACTCCAGAGATCCTGAATTCATATCGGGAAGTGCCATCCATCCATCCATCCAAACTTCCAAGCATCTCGTTCCCCTCTCACCTGTACGCAATGTCGCACCATCCTTTGAGGTTCATGTGGTAGTCCTGGATCATCTTGACTTCATTGTGGCAGTCGCGGTGAGTCTGGCAAGGGCTGCCAGCCGTGTGGATGATGACCACGTACTCGGCCGGGACATCCCTCAACGGTTGGGAGCAGTTGGCCACCTTGGCTCCCCATTTCGAGGGGGTGATGAGTCGGAAACAACCTGTGGCTGGAGAAACGGAAGAATGCGAGGTCTTTCCAGGGGCCAAGGAAGACCCCCCCCACAAGTCAATCTTTCAAGGCGGCCCCTTGAATCTCCCTGTCGTGCAATTTTGACCTTCTATCCATTGACTCGTTTGGGCTAAGCCAAGTCTCAAGGGTCATGCCCATTCTTGATGCCAAGGATTAGTTCATAGAACATCATCAGAGCTGGAAGGGACCTTTAGAGGTCTTCTAGTCCAACCCCCTACTCAAGCAGGAAAGCCCATACCATCCCAGATAAAGGGTTGTCCGATCTATCTCTTCTTGGAAACCCTCCAGTGACGGAGCATCCACAGCTTCTGGAGACAAGTTATTCTGCTGGTTTATTGTCCTCGGTGTTGGGAAATTTCTCCTGATAGGTTTCCATTTCGTTCCTTGATAGGTTTCCATTTCCGTTGCTTCTCATCCTGCCTTCTGGTACTTTGGAGAACAGGTGGACCCTCTCTTCTTTGGGGCAGCCCCTCAAATATTGGAACACTGCTATCATATCCCCCGAGTCCTTCTTTTCATCAAGACTAGATACACCCAAATCCTCCAACCATTCTTCAGATGTTTTATCCTCCAGTCCCCTAATCATCTTTGTTGCCCTTCTCTGCACTCTTTCCAGAGTCTCAACATCTTGTTTTTATATTGCGGCGACCAAAACTGGATGTCATATTCCAAGTCTGGTCTTACCAAGGCCTTATCAAGTGGTACTAACATTTATCTTTGAGTTTTCAGTAGGGTAGTCCTTCTCCAGTCCCTTAGTTTGGTTCGCCTTGTGTTCCTGTGAAATTCAACCTAGTTTTTCTCCCTTTCATAGCTAGAAATTCAGCTCCTGTCAATTTAGGATCCGAGATGTTTTGGAAACTGACTCGGGCAGAAGACTGATTTTTGAACAAGTTTAGATCTTTGTCTCGGAGGATTCCGAGGCTGTTGGCCAAAAATGTGAGTCCTACACCCCATGACCATTGCTCATGGTAGGTAGATGATGCCATAGAACTGTTGGTGAACACCCTGATATGGAGGGCTGTACCACATACCCCTATCCATACCTGAACAAGCCTGGGGGCTTACCTTGAGACAGAGAGCATAAGATCAAGAAAGAGATCTGCAATATAACCATCTTCTTCCGATGCTGGTCACCCTGAGGTCTTCTGAAAAGAACAAGATGTTTCGGTATCAAAACTGCTCAAGTTGAGCAACAGATTTTGGACTGTCTGAGCAGAAAAGCGACATCTCTTAGCTTATCTTCCATACACAACACCATCTTTGGCTAAATATTTATTTAAGTCTAAAAGGTGGGTCAAAATGGTTTAAGGGGCAGATGTTCTCCAAGCAGCTTTCTCCAAGCAGCAACTTTCTACAACTCACGGTAGGGTCAACCTGCTCATTTTTACTTGTAGTTGTAATTCCATCAAGACGGGGAGCCTGGAATATGCTACGTCCACTCTTCGTCTATTATATGGGCAAGTTCTCCGGCCACAACCCAAAGTTTAGGCTTCAAATTTGAAGCATCTCAGGAATGGGTGGGTGACATCCGGACATTAAAGTTCCTTTTTGGGATATCGTCCTCCAGAGACACCACACCAAACCCAAGTAAAACGTAGCAAGGGATGGTAGAGAAGAAGACTTTGCCAGTGGTGGCATCAAGGAAGTGGAGGATCTTCCCTTCAAGGTGGCGTTCCAAAGCTAATGAAGATATTCTCCTCCAAGGAAGGTTCTCTCTCCTTCCCCAGGTAGCTGAATCCTAACCTCTATCGTTTCCAATGAACGGTGAAGGTTGATAGCTTCAAGAAGACCACTGAGAAGTTTCCACAGGGATCGGATGACCTGGGCCCCTTCTGACCTATCCTGAAATACATTTACGGACCTTCACCTCTCAAAGAACAAGTCATAGACCTGGAAAGGTCCACCCAAGGGCTGAAAAAGACATCAAAAGGAATCAAATGACTTGGAGAAGAGGGGGCGCTTCTTATTAAATCGGGACATCTCCCTCTCCCCCCCCCCCCCCCCGAAGATCTTCAAATTTTAATCAGATATCACATGGAACGGAACTACTAGATGCGATCCTGATTACTCGCCCTTGTAGCTTAAATTAGCAGTTATGTTGTTATTCAATTAGGATATCACTCTGCTCTCTGTCTCCCTCTGTGTGTGTCGCTCTCTGTCTGTCTCTCTCTCTCTCTCTCTCCCTCTCTCTCTATCTGTCTATCTATCTGTCCATCTTAGTAAACATCTCGTGAAATGGAACCAGGCAGAGAGGACCTTGGTTGCTCCCCCTTGTATCTTAAATTAGTTGTTATGCTGTTATTAAATTGGGACATGTCTACTTCTCTATTTATCTCTCTCTCTCTCTCTTTCTGTCTCTCTCTCTCTCTCTCTCTCTCTTTCTGTCTCTATATCTATCTATCTCTATCTATCTCTCTCTTTCTATCTATCTATCTATCTATCTATCTATCTATCTATCTATCTATCT